TCTACGTAGTGTCACATATAGTGGCCATCTAGCTGCATTTGGAAGTGGGTGAGAGAAGCTGCCATTTTTAAAACATGTGTTCAGACTGAAACTGACAGTTTTGGACTATCTGATATGGAATACATATGGAGAAGTTAGAGTGAAATTTAGTGCATGAGTGGTCTTTGTTGTCCCCCTTTAGTGTTTTCTTCTTTTGCAAGCTCTACACTTGAATGTTACTCATGTTAGTGATTTTGATTGAGGCTTCTGGTTGTAAAAAAAGCTGAGTTATTTTGCTGAGAACATTGCTGTGCTCATATTTTGAAAGGCAAAAACATGCAAATTGCTGCTATTCATCGTTTTCATTTGAATTGTTTGCAAGTGTGCTGGTAGTATTTTGTTTTTAGATATTCCTTTTTTAAAATTAAAATCCATTTTCTTCAAGTCCTAGATGAACATTTGCATTGATAGAACGCACAATTTATCATTTGATAATTACTGTCCCCTACCTACCTCTTCCTGGTTATTTACTATCATGTGAAAGAAAAGTTGATGTATTTTGCTTCTACCAGTCTCCAGAAAACAATTACCTGGAAGGATTTGTTTTTTAAGTTTGGGACTTTTCTTAAAATAGCCACAAACACATGAATTATCATATGAAAATAGAGCTTGCAAGAGTTAGCTATCTCATTTGGCAGTGTTTAATTTAATTTATGGAAGCTATTTTTCTATGCATGTAGGAACTAACCAAGATTTATAAATACATTAGCACGCTCTCATTTTGCATTTTGCATACTGTATTATGACTCGTAAAAATTGTGTTGATAGAGCTCTTCAAAATCATTTCAGAAGAGAGCCAGTTTGGTGTAGTGGTTAAGATGCTGGTCTGAAAACCAGTTTACTGCGAGTTCTGCTATAGTTCTGCCTTAGGCATGAAGGCTTACTGGGTGACTTTGGGCCAGTCACTCATCCCAAGAGTTGTGGGAAAAATAGGAGAAAAGAGTATTAGGTATAACCACCACTTAGAATTACTTACAAAGTAATAAAAGTGGAATGGGAAATCAAATAAATAAATAGTAGATCTTAATGGAAAAGTTTGAACAATTGGAGCCCTGGATAAACAAGGATTTATTAGTTCAGCAGAAAGTAACAGTGGAAGCAACTTTCAATAAAAATGACAGACAAGCAGAAGACAAGCCAGTAGATGTGAAGCAGATAGGAAGTAAAGAATATAGGAAACACTCTGTCCTCCTGGGTGTCAGAAACAAATGATGACTGATTCAGCAGGTTCTGTCATTGTAAAAAGTTGATCCAGTATAAGCTGTTTGTCTGCTTTGGCTCCCAACTACCCACACAGAGCCTCTGGCATCTCTTTACACCTGAAAGTTACATGATGAGAGGCAGCTTCTGCCATTTCCATCCTGCCTTGCTTCTGAATAAAGTATCCCCTACTGAACAGTTGTGTTTAACTTATGCTTCTGCAAACAGGATTTTACAAGTCGGCAGAAAGAAAGCTAGTGTTCCAAAGTATATACAGGTAGCCCTCAACTTACAACATTTCATTTAATGACCATTCAAAGTTACAGTGACACTGAAAAAAAGTGACTCATGACTGTTTTTTACACTTAAGACCACTGCAGCATTTCTTTGTTCACATGATCAAAATTTGGAGGCTTTGCAACTGATTTATATTTATGTAGTTGCAATGTCTTGGAGTCATGTGATAGTTTAATCTCCTGACAAGCAAAGTCAATGGGGAGGCCAGATTCACTAAACAACTGCAGTAATTCACTTAACTGTGGCAAGAAAGCTCGTAAAATAGGGCAAAACTCACTTAAATGTTTCACTTAGCAACATAAATTTTGGGCTCAATTGTGTCTTAGTCAAGGACTACCTGTTCTTGTGATTTGCTGCCTTGCTGAACCTTACTGATTACATGCAGAGAAATACAGCATATTATGATTGAATGATTACAACTCGAGTGTTTAAATTTTAAGCTCTAAAGCAGTGGTCCCCAACCTTTTTTGTACCAGGGACCAGTTTCATGCAGAAACACTTTTTCAAGGACCGGGGGGGGGGGGGGGG